CGCCCGGACCTGGGGGTCCGCAAGGCTGCTCCCGCTCGTTGGATGGCGGGCGTTTGGGGGTCCTAAGGTGAAGATGTGTGTGGTCACCAGGCCACCGATTTGTTTTTCTTTGTGGAGAGAAAGAAAGGGGTGGGGGTTATTTATCGGATCGGATTCTCCCATTTTTGTGTGTGAGAGATTCGTGTCTTGCAAGTCTCTAAGGAACGTAAAACTGTGTCTGGGTGTCGTTAGACAGAGGATTCCCAAGCCCTTCTTAATACCCAAACTCGAAGTGGGGTGAACCCCCTCCCCAACTTTCCCCTTAGTTTTCTTGCATATTTTCTTCTTGGCATAGTCTCCTTCCTGGAGAAGGATTTGGGGAGAGGAGAAGGGGACACAGTGTCTCAAGTTGCTTCCAAGCAATGCCTGTTTTGGATCTCCTTTGCTTTCCTTTCTATGATGTCCCTTCAATTTTTATTTTAATCGTCCAAGGGACAAGGGCCCTGGCTCAGGGGTGGGCGATGGTGGTCGGGGAGTAAGAAGCACTGCCCGTGTGCCATGCTGGTTGGTAGTTTGTCTAATTTTTTTAACTTGCTGAAACTCTTGAACCTTCCTATCCACTTTTCCCCCCACTTTGTTTATCTCCCCCCTCCCCCATGGGAGAAGCAGCAAAACGGAAAAGCCTCTCCATTTCTGAATGAAGCCTTTCTGCTCTCCTCTGGGAGGCTTTTTGGGGATTGGTGCCGGGACAGTCTAGGCTCCCCCAGAGACCTTGAACCCCAGGGGTGTTGGGGAGGGCACTGGGGGTCTGGATGGCTGGCACAGAGCAGTCGGGGTCCTGAAGGCCTTGCCCCTCCCCGCTCCCGTTTTCTGCAGACAGCCGGTGAGTGGGGAGAGTCTGGGGGGTCATGTGCAGTATATTTATGTAAGACACCCAGACAGAGGGCATGGGTATTTATATAACCCGGCGTGGGTATTTATGTAATATAGGATGCGGGTATATTTATGTTCCTTTCCTAACCTGCGGGTTTCCTGGCTGCCGTGTGTGGTCTCTGAATTGGTGTTGGCGGAAAATGGACTGGGGTGTGGGGGGGGTTGCGTGCACACCTCCGCCCCCCCCCGCCGCCCCCCACAACAGGGCTCACTGTGCGTGCCTGCTTTTCTTTCTTCCCTTGGAGTGTACACACTCGGGAAGCTGGACGTGTGTGTACGTGGGGTGTGTGGCGTGTGGGTTTCCTGCAAACGTGGACTGCGTTCCCCTGGCAGCGTGGCACCTCAGCTGAGACAGGCCAAGCATGTGGGCAGTGGCCCTTGATTGAGAGCCCAGAGTTTGGCCAGCTGGGGTGGAGGTCCCTGCCTCATGGTTATTGGTGGAGGGCTGGTGAGCTCCTGGGGAGCCAGGTTGCTGGGGTTGGCCTTTCTCTCCTGGGCTCTGCCCACTGTCCCTGCAATCCATCTCCCTCCCAGGCTGGCCTGGTCGTTGGGGGCAGCACTTGGCACGGGCAAGGGGCTGATCTTCTGTGCCAGCACAGCTGCTCTGCAGTCTTCCTGTTTTGCCTGGTTTGTGAGTGTGGGAGACCACCAGGTGGGATGGCCGGAGCCGTGTCCTAGGCGAGGCTGCTACCGTCTACAGGGTGGTGTGGGGCAGGTGGCGTGGCCTCTGTGGGCCTGAGTACCCTGTCTGCGAAAGGAGTTCCCTCTTGCTAGTCCTTGATTCTGGTTCTCTTGTAATCACCCTTCCCCCGCTTACTGCAGTCCCTGGTCCCTGTGCCCACGGCAGCACTGCCTCCAGGCCTCCAGTTTCCTCCTCTGCTGACCAGGAACAGGGTGTCCAGACTTTTGCCCCAGGCCAGAGCAGAGGGGTCCCTCCTAGGGTGGCCCTGGCCCTGAGGAAGGAGAGAAGCTGCTCACATCAGAACTCCTCCCACCCCTCGGGGGCTGGCGGCTAAAACCCTGGCTCAGTGCCCTCTGTTCTATGAGGGCGCTCTTAGGAGACCCTCCTAGTCTTGAAGGACGCCAGCTCCAAACAGTTTATCCAAGAGGCTACGGGCCTCCACGTGAGGTTCTTGGTGTCATGATGTAGAGATGGGGAGGCGACTGGAAGGTGGGGGTCTAGGGTGTTTCTTTCCTGCCTTCCCCCCAGTAGGGGATATGACCTTCTCCTGCACGGCACGCTGGGCACCGGTGAGGTCTGGCCTCTGGGCAGGGGCACGCTGGGCACTGGTGAGGTCTGGCCTCTGGGCAGGGGCAGTACTTGGGAAGACCAGGCCAGGCTGTGGGAGCCTGGGGATAGGAGTGGAGAGGCCCTGTTGTTTCAGAGGTGTAAGAGGGCTGATGCCCGTTGTGATCCTTTGAGAAGCTTCTGTTGAGGGGCCCCTGAATGAGTGTCCCCCAAAGATATGCTTGCTTGGCCGCTTCCCCTCTGGCCACACTGAAACCTGACCTCAGCCTCCCTTAGCTGTTCCCCAGGTTTGTGGAGTGCAGGCTGTGGGCCGCCTGACACCTGCAGAATGTGGTCTTCGAGAATGTGGGTCTTCGAGTTCCTGGTGGCTCTGCCTGGCCTTGGGCTGGACCCCTTTCCTGGCTCCCCACTTCACTGACCCTCATGTTCCTGCTTCCTCTGCAGCAAGAGTGAGCCATGGAGCTACGCGTGGGGAACAAGTACCGCCTGGGACGGAAGATTGGGAGCGGGTCCTTCGGAGATATCTACCTGGGTGAGTGTTCCTGACTCCAGCTGGAGCCCCTGGGGCCAGCCTGTGGTACCAAGAGGAAGAAAGACCCCAGGATTTGGGGCTCTGAAGTTGGAATGTGGCTCCAGGGGCATAATTTGCCCCAGGGCCATTCCAGGTCGGGAAGGAAGCAGCAGGTAGTCAGTCGGGAGGCAGGCCAGGGGGCTCCTCCTGTCACAGGCCAGGTTGGGCACTGGAGGGTATTTTTAGCTCCAGTTTCTGCAGGAGTCATGCGGTTCCTCTGTGCCTCAGTGTCCCGGGTCAGCTGGGTCCCCAGCTGGGTGTGGGAAAACCCAGGCGGGGTTCACATCCTTTGCCTTGCTTCCTGGGAGAAGGATACTGGTAGATAAAAGAGATCTGGGTTGCTGCTGGACCCCTAGCCAGGCCCCTATGTCCTGGTCTCCTGGAACCCAGCCCTGGCAGGCTTTAGGATGACGCAGGCTCCCCTGTAACCTCGGGGGCGGGGTGGGGGGGGTCTCCTCATTAGGGAGTTCTGTCTTTTTCTCTCCAGACGTGCTTCCTGTTGAAAGTATGAGTTTGCTGTGATGTTGCATTTTAAACAAGTCACTGACCTCTCAGTCCTCCCCTTGGCCTGGGAGAAATGAGGCTTGCGCCTTTCAGTGCCACTTTTAGGGGGCACGGTCATGAGTCCTGGCCCTTCCTTTGTGATTATTGGTCCAAAGGGAAGGTATTTAGTGTTGGTGATTGTGGATTAGGGGCGGAGTGAGGTAGCCAGCCCCTCTAGGATTTATCCTCATTCCTGTCCCTGCTCCCTCAGAAGCAGGTTACCCTCCTTGGCAAATGAAAATCAGCTCTGTCCAGTGCAGAGATCACCAAGTCTGTGTGCCGTGTCCATCAGTTCAGAACTTCGGGGTTTTTGTTACCCCATGGTTAGGGTCCCTTGGAGTGTGAAATGTGTTAAGGAAGCCTCAATGGAGACTGGGTCGGAGACTGGGAGTTCCCTGAGCACTTCCTTGCAGGGTACTTTCTGCAGCCCCTAGAGATAGTACCAGATTCTTTGGCACATCAGGAAACTGAGGCACAGATGGTCAAGTTGGTCTCCCAAGACCACTCTAGAAAACTGGCAGAAGCAGCCTGTATGCCCACAGCCCGCCACATGAGTGAGAGCGTGGAAGACAGAACATGCTGAGGGAGATGTTAGACGTCTAGTTCGGCGTTCTAGACATGGCTTTGTGTGGCTGTGGGAAGGTCGTGCGGCTCCTCTGTGCCTCAGTGTCCCCATCTGTAAAGTTTGTGATAATTCTGCCTGACTGATCAAGAAAGGTTCTAAGGCACAGATGAAATGACAGATGGAAAAGTATTTTGTAAACTCTAAAGTGCCAGCCAGATGTGCAGTTCATTGCTGAGTGTTTAGTGGATGACTCTCCCCATGGACACTAGGGAGCTCAGAGGGAGGGAGAGTGTGCGGCGCAGCTGGTTCATAGGTTTTCTCTGCGACGCCAAGCTACTCCCGGGGAGGCAGGCGTTAGGTAGTATCTGCTAGTGGTCAGCACAGTGGGTGTTCACTGAAGGCTAGTCAAGCAAACCAATGAGAAAATGGGGACTGTGACATGCACAGGCATGCACAGCAGCCTCACAGCAGAATAGAAAAAGGCTGGGATGGCCAGGTGCGCTGGCTCACACTTGTAATACCAGCACTTTGGAAAACCAAGGCAGACGGATTGCTCGAGTCCAGGAGTTCGAGACCAACCTGGGCAACATGATGAGACCCCATCTCTACAAGAAAAATACTAAAATTAGCTGGGTGTGGTGGCACGTGCATGTAATCCCGGCTACTCGGGAGGCTGAGGTGGGAGAATCACCTGAATCGTGAAGGTTGAGGCTACGGTGAGCTGAGATTGCACCACTGCACTCCAGCCTGGGTGTCAGAGTGAGACCATGTCTCAAAAAAAAGGAGGCCAGGAGCTGTGGCTCACGCCTGTAATCCCAGCACTTTGGAAGGCCAAGACGGGCAGATCATTTGAGGTCAGGAGTTCGAGACCAGCCTGGCCAACATGGTGAAACCCTGTCTCTACTAAAGATACAAAAATTAGCTTGGTGTGGTGGCACATGCCTGTAGTCCCAGTCTCTGCACTGGACAGAGCTGATTTTCATTTACCAAGGAGGGTAACCAAGGCACAGAGGTGTGTCTAGCCTGCTTCTGAGGGCGCAGGGACAGGAATGAGGATAAATCTTAGAGGGGCTGGCTCTGGGACTACAGGAGGCTGAGGCAGAAGAATGGCTTGAACCTGGGAGGCGGAGGATGCAGTGATCTGAGATCGCGTCATTGCACTCCATCCTGAAAAAGAAGGAAAGAAAAAGGCTGAGATTTGGGGGTCAGTCCAGGTTCAGATCCCCAGTCTGTTCCTCATTTGTTGTGTGACCTGGAGTAAGTCACTGTATCATGCTGAGCCTCAGTCTTCACATCTGAAATGAGTGTACCCAGCTCCTTACTGTGTGAAATTGGAGTGGGTGTAAAGGACCCTCGTATGATTGAAGCTGTTGGGTTCAGCACTGAAGCCTGGAGCCACTGGCTGGAGGTCAGAGGGCATGGAGACAGCTCTTGGCACAGCCTTGTTCCTAGACAGTGCCCATCCCAGGTCCCGTCTTGTCTTTTTGCAGACAGGAGACTGAGGCCCGTGGCTGGAGGGCGGTAGCCCAAGATCACTCAGAAAATCCAGAATCTCGTGTGGTGGAACCTCCCTGGGGACAGGACTTCCTGTTTATCTGCATAGTCATCTCATTCATTTAAAAAACTAAGTCCAGATTTACTCCTCTTTGTACTGGCTCTGGAGTAAATTCAGCCTAGGTTTGGGTGCTGGTGCTCCCTTTTATGAGCTGTATGCACTTGGGCAGGTGATGACCTTGTCCATCCTCGGCTTCCCCATCTGCAAAATGGGGTCATGAGAAGTAATGAGGTTGTGGTGTGTAAAGTACCCACGTGTGCTGGGCCCAGCAATAGGTGCTGTACGCTGTGCCCCCACCATTGCCCCCACCATTGGAACTGTTTTCGAAGGGTCTGGGTCCTCTGGGTCTGAGTCTGGGGAAGCGAGTCAGACTCCTGACTCTCTGTGTTCCCTGGTGCAAGGGCCTCAGGGGACCCTGCCCCGACTCACCATCCTGCCAGCACCCTCCTGGGCCCCTGTCTTGTTGGTTTGGGGACAGTGGTGATTGTAGGGCATCCCTGGCCAGCCTCACCGGCTCCATTTATTCAATGCTCTGGCCACATTCTTATCCCCAGTGCCGTGCCAGGGCCTGACTCCAGATGGCCTCTGCAGGTGGGGCTGGATGTGTCCTCCAAGCCCTGCTTTCCAGGATCACCTGAGGGCCAGCACACTATAGATGTGACTTCTGCCCTTCCTCCCTTTGCATCATAAGGGGTCAGCCAAGAGAGTGGGGCCTGCTTTGTTAAGGACCTGCTATTGCCCATCCAGGGTCCAGAGGTGGCCAAATCTGGGCCCATTCTCTAGACTTGCATCCTGGGGAACTCTCTAGACCTCTTAGAGTCTCTGGTCCTCAGCTCTGAAAGGAGAACAGTGTTCTCCACTGACGGGTGGTTCCAGGGGTGAGAGTTAATGCAGGGAATACTCCAGGCCTCTGATGGGTGGGAACTGAGGTTGTCCCCGCTGCTGCTGCTGCTGCCGCCGCCGGGACGGGTGGGCTTCATCCCCTGTCCTCCAGTCCACCCAGGTCCCCGATTGTGTCCATGTGTCTGTGTAGGTGTCAAGTAGGCCCCCATGTGAGGCTGGCCATGCCTGTGGCCACTTGGAACTTGCCAAGTTCCCAGCCCCTCTAGGGCCAGCCAAGTCCAAGCCCTTTTCTGTGTCCAAGTTTGTTTTGGGAACTGGCAGTCCCCCCACTGTGTCTTACTCATGGGACATCTTCTGTTCCTGAAATCAGGCAGTTCTTCCAGCTTCTAGGCCTTCGCATGGGGGGCACCCCTGCATCTATGCTCAGCTGGCTGCCAGACACAGCCTTTGCCGGGAGGCCTCACCTGGAGTTGGAGTGGAGAAAAAACACAGGGACTTTGGGGACTAAGACTGAAATTCTGGCTGTGCCCCAACCAGTTCTGTCAGACCTCAGGCCAGTTACCTAACCTCTCTGAACCTCAGCTTAGTGGTTGTAAGAATTAAGGGAGCTCAGAGAAAAGCCTGGCAGCTTCCTGATAGAATTTAGAGGCCACCAAGGAACTCATTGGTGGCAGGACCTGCTGCAGGGGGAGGCAGCTCTGGCAGGTTTCCAGCACTTGCGGGAGTCAGAGGCTTTGCCTAGCAGCTTGGATCTCTGTCCCTGGGACATGTGTGGCATATGATCATTTGACCTTTGGTGTCTGTTTTTCCACATGTCAAACAGAAATGCAAACAGTAGGCCGGGTGCAGTGGCTCATGCCTGTAGTCTCAGCATTTTGGGAGACCAAGGCAGGCGGATCATTTGAGGTCAGGAGTTTGAGACCAGCCTGGCCAACATGCAGAACCCCATCTCTACTCATGATACGAAAATTTGCCAGGCATGGTGGTGTCTGCCTGTAGTCCCAGCTACTCGGGAGGCTGAGGCATGAGAATTGCTTGAACCCAGGAGGCAGAAGTTGCAGTGAGCTGAGATCATGCCACTGCACTGCAGCCCGGGTGACAAAGTGAAGCTTTGTAAAAAAAAAAAAAAAAAAAAAAATACAAACAGTAGTACTCGACGGGTGGGGTAAGGGCTCGATGGGAGGAGGGCCCCGTCTACCCACTACCTCCCCGGCACATCCCCAGCACGCCCCCAGCACCTCCCCAGCACCTCTCCTCCCTGCACACATCTGCCGAGTCACCAAGTCCTGCAGGCCCTGCCTCCAAAGTGTCGCTCATTCTCTGCACCCTGCCCGGGCAGGGCCACTGTCAGCTCATGCCTGGTCTCTGTAGTGGCCTTCCCAGGCCTTCCACTACCGCTCTGGCCTCCTCCAGCCCTTTCTTACCACCAGGTAGCCTCAACAGGGTGATTTTTGT